TAACACAGTGCGTAATCAAAATAATGGTTAAAAAACCCATTAATGAATTAAATCCTTAGATATTCCCTGTGATCCTCCAACACGTCTCGAGAAACGTACTTTGTCTTCTCTGCAGAGAAAAAAGAAAAAGAAAAAAAAAGTCTGGCTCTTTTGATTGAAGGTAACAGCAAAAATGTAATGCAATGGGAAAAAAAAAGTCAATTTTATTTGCATTCCAAAACTCGCATTTGTAAATAAGGATATTACGAAGAGATTGAGTGAGGCAGATACAGCGAAAGTGATGAAAATTTCAAAAATCAATATTGTAACAACAACAACTGCATTTAAAGTTTGGAGAAAAGGGTATCTGAATACATTTGCTTTGGTGTTAAAAAACATCAAAGGCGCTTTCTAGAAATGCTTGTACGAAGTGTATAAATAAAAGCGGTCTTATCTATCGAAGTATGTTTGCTATTCTACAACTGTCAGTCCAAGATTTTCTGAGTATGGGTATCAAGCTAATTAGGTAAACGTGGACAATTCCAAGCCATCTCTCTTTCTGATCAGGATATAAATACATTAAAAACAGCCCAGTAAAATAAGGACGTAGACATAGTAGATAGAGGGGGCGGGGGGAAACATTAACTTTTTTTTATTAGCTATAAAATACAACACTACATACATAATAAGATACAGTCGGATAAGTCTATTACTTTTTTAACATTTTTTTTCCCATTTTTTTCCATTCAATTGTTCGTGGCATAAAACATAACACATTTTTTTCCCCTCTCTCCTATCTTGACTTGAATATTATTTCTTGCAAACAATAAAGATACATCTCCTGGTCTTATTTTATTGTCTTGTATATTTATACTCCAAAAACAGGTTACCTGTACATTCTGCTAAGACGACCAGCTTCACTCTCTACACAAGAAACTGTAGACATGTATTTATATTATAATCAGATAGGAGCTAGAATTTGCAATTGTGCTGCTCAGCATTAGTTAGGACACAATATGTCCATACATAGATAACAATAGCATAATGTTCATGTGTTTATTTCTACAGCTGGGATTATTGCATATCGGGAACAGAGTCTCACCTATGCCTTGAATATACCTAGTGTGCTATCCACATTGTGGGCACTAGCAGCTAAATGCCAAATTAAAAATGTACTATTTGTTGTAATTCTAAGGATTTAAATGTGTAGATTTCAGATTACTGTAGCCATAAATGCAACAAATATATACATGTAAAGGTAACACTGACAAATAACGTGTTATACAGGGTTACGCCAACCAAAATTTTTTTAAAGAAAACTTTGTTTTGGGTCAGAGTAATTCTTTCTATACTGCATCCCTCAAAGAAAGAAAGACTATATATATATATATATATATATATATATATATATATATATATATATTGATAGAAAATAGTATATACACTACAAAAAACGTATAGCTGGAAGAATTCCTTGGTGTACCTCACAGACACCCAAGAAACAATGTAAAATAGCAAAAAAGTGGAAAACACCCAGAATACGTGTAAATTAATATATAAAATATACAACAACCTGATGGAAAACGTAATCCATATGAATTCTGTATAAGGATCAGAAATCTAACATAGCGTAATACAGTTAAGAAACTTTTAAATATATAAATATAAGTGATTGTAGATACACTCACAAACACACGTGGAATAAGGCTTCTCGCCCACTCAGGGGCAGTATGTGATGCGATGGATAGGCTGGAAAATCATCTCATAGAACATATGGACATAAAGGAAATCACAGATAGTGAAGTTTGTTATTAAAATACAAAATCACAATTTATTGGTCACACTTACATGTGTGTATATCACAAACAGCGTATCTTTCAATAACCTGGAACTCCACGCAGTGTAGTCATCAATCCAAAATAGGAACTAACAGGAGGGGTTATCAAAGAGCGGCCAAAATACAAATACATGCAAATTAAAAAACAATATAAAATGGCAATATGAAATATTCAGAACAAGTCCTATATCTTTACAGGAGGAAACGCGTTGGACTTTTATATATGGACTTATATTTCATATTGCCATTTTATATTGTTTTTTTAATTTGCATGTATTTGTATTTACGGCCCAGTATATGGACTTTTAACTAATTTATTATTTATTAATACCAAATTTAATTATATATAGCATTATTTAAAAATATTAATATTAATTCAGTATATGGACTTTTAACTAATTTATTATTTGACTCTTAAATGGTCCAAATCCGAGGAGAACAATTGCTTTCAAATAAAGAAGACACCAATCCCACCAGGCTGATCTAAATTATTTAATTCTTCAATGTGTCCTTCCCTTTTCTATATGTTTTACATTGTAAGAACCTTCAGTGTTTTTCTACTTTGCAGCAATTTTGACAGCTTATCTTGTGACATACCCTCAAGTGCATTTTTTTTAATTGCACTTTTTCAAATTTCATCATTGTAGCCTGTAACTCCACACATTTTCAAAAGATTAATCACTGAAACAACCACAGTGTGGCAAATGTCCAACCATGGAGCATCTTCCCAGTGCATTAAAAAAAAATATATATGTATTTTTAATATTTTATAATGTTTATAGAGAGTCAGTGTTTAGATGATGAGAATAATTTTCTGTAAAACCTTAACAAGAATGAAACATATGTTTATTTTTAACCACTGTCCTAATGTATCCACCCATAAATCAGTGCATCAAATTTACGTAACAAAAATTTCCATATTTATGGCAATCAAGAAAGTTTCAAAAGAACAAAACTCCATTAGAATGATTTAAATCTATATCACACATGGTTTTTATATAGCATAGGTATTTAGTCTGAAATAACACTCAGTTTTCCAAAAATCTCAATCATGCAAAAAAGTTTGAATTTTTATTTCCTACCAAATTTAATTATATATAGCATTATTTAAAAATATTAATATTAAACACCTGGTGTTGTTTTCACCTTTCTGACCTTCCTGACTGAATAATTTCAATTACGGAATTGAGAGAAGGGATGTCAAAGGTTGAACTCAATGGATTGGAGTTCTTTTTCTTCCTATGACTAATACTATTTCACTTTGCTCGTTTCAGTCAGAGTCATTAGTCATTTAATTTTCATGGAATTAATGTAAACAGCTGGATAGGATGAAAATCTTCTTGACACTCGATATTACTCTGGAACAAGGTTTTTTAGCACTCTCTTTCCGCGTTAATGGCGGTCAGTCACACCCCGGAGACAAGTCATGAGTCTTGACAGAATATTACTTAATCTTCACAGGTACAAATTTGCTATGATGTAGTCCCTTGTTGCTATCACTAGTCTCCCATTGGGAGCTGATGAAAGGACGGCAGGATTTACTTACTTCAAAAGGGTATGAGTTGTAAAAAGTGTAGCAATGGGCTATTTGAGATTACACTCAAACATTTCTCTTTTCATCCAGATCACAGCTGTGCAATCCTGCTAATTACCAAGATATTGGCATTTAATGAAGAAATAACAGAGGACTTTGGAGAGACATATAGAACTATGGTACACTTTTAATTATTTGAAATAATTGCAAATTCGGTAAAATGAGTGAACTTAAATACTGTATTTAAGGTACAGAGTTAAATGTATGTTTCGAGTAAAATATAGTCATTAGAATTCTGACTATCATTTAGCACCTTCAGTCCAGGGAACCTGACATTTAAAAAAAGTTATACATTATTCATATGTAATGTATTGAAGTGGCAGGAGGAATAATAAGGAGAAGGAATCTCATTGCTATGTAGTGACAGAGGGGGTATGGCTGTTACCCAGCAAGACTCTGTTACACCATGAATGAACCTGAGATTAACATTAAAGGAATGGGAGGTATTTAAAAAAAAAAAAAAGGGACTTCATATTTGACCTTTATTGGTTATTGAAAGGAATATTTTTGATTTACAGAGCATGAACTTGAAAAATTACTGACATGTAATTTGCTAGTAAGCTTACAAAACAATATGGACTACTTCTTTTCAAGGAACCTAGGCCGATGTGGTGGAAGCGAGTGGTTGAGCAGAACACTAGGCAATATTGAATAAAGCAGAGAAAACTGATAGATATTATATGTAAAGGCCAAATGAGCAATACAATTATAAAAATTTATAAAGTTATGGAATTTCATTGTTGCTGAGACAACTGTTTGGCCGTCAGATTGACCCAACCTCTCAGCTCCTGATTACTTCCTGTGGGGATACCTGAAGGAGCGGCTGTACATGAATGAACTGCGTACACACAAGCAACTCAAGGAGAATATCCATGCAAAAATGTGAGCGCTGGAGCCAGAGGCGTAACTATAAACCACCTGTGCGAAAAATGCCCTGCTCCCCTGTACATCTACCCCCCCGCCGCCCTCCCACCATACGTCTATCATCCCCCTCCCATACGTTTCGTTCCCCCACACATGCAAACAGATTCACATGTAGACACACATAGACACACACATAAAGAGATTCATACAGACACACAGACCTTTCCCTGGGGTCCAGTGGTTCAGCCTGATGGGAGTCAGAGTTCCCACTCTAACTTCCTCCTCTCCTTCCTCCCGCACGGCTCCCAGTGGTTGCTGGGTGGCGTGACCGGGGCAGTCACTTCCTCCCAGTGTAGTCTGACATCATCAGAGGGGGCCTGGTCGCGCTTATATACCTGGTATCGGGTGGCCCTAACAGAATGGGCCCCCGATAGGCTCCTTCAATGTGGTCCTGGAGGTTACACCGCACTGGCCGGGGCCGCATTACTTAACCGGCGTGACCCGCAGTCGCAGGGGTCCGCAGGGTGGCCAGGCCCCTAGAGTGGCGGGTCCGGTCGCAGCTGCGACCCCTGTGACCTCAGTAGTTCCGTCACTGGCTGGAACCTCAAATTTTAAAGGAACACTATACGGTCAGGAAGAACTGCCCCTCTAGTAGCCATCTTAGGACTGGCCAGTGGAGGTATCCCTAGGCTGTAATGTAAACACTGCATTTTCTCTGAATATATATATGTGTGTGTGTGTGTGTGTGTTTGTGTGTATGTATATATGTAGAAAATATTGTATCTATTTGTGGGTCTATACACACACACACACACACACACACACACACACTATTTTCTCTCTCTCTCTCTCTCTATATATATATATATATATTTCAGGAAAATGTAGCTCTTTCATTTTCAGACAGAATAATACAAACAAGGACAGAAATATATTTCATCTTGTATTGTGAAGTGCAGATGTTCAGCACCCAAGCACAGAATGCAGCATTTATCATTCCCTCAAAAGAAAAAAAATAAACCAGCACTGATTTAGCCGACGTAATACGGTTTTATAATCAGTCCACTCAAAAACAATACCTACGACATTCATTTGTTACCCGCAGAAAAATAATGAAACATACAGGGATGGATTTACTAAACAGCAAGTTGCAGAGAGGGAAGAACAGACTTCCAAATCTATGCTCCTGTAGCCAATTCGGAAATCACCTCCAGCTCGGCACAATGGAAGATATGTTCCCAAAATAACTCTTCTGGGATATACTTTGCAAATCTTGTCTCAGCTCCCCAATTAACCATTCAGTGAATAAGTCCCATTATTGCGACATGATCTAAATGAACAAAGCAAGACCCTTAAAAATGGTTTGATCTAAATCCATACATTACCAAGTCCCCAAGGATTTCGAACTTCCAATAGTACATGTAACGAGAACACTGTATCATTAGTTTAGTGTTCTACATGTTTTTTTTAATTAACAAAGGCAAACCCATAATGCTTTGCACTGTGTCTTGTGCAACTCATCGGAGAAAAACGAAACACGCACTGACCCTGACTAATATATAGCAACAAAATAAAGAAAAAAAGAAAAACTAAACAAACAAAAAAACTAGACCTTTATAATATCATTGCCCAACGGGATTATATTTCAATTACAAATACAAAAGAAACAGATGCCATCCTATTACTTTAGTTTATAGCATGTTGTCCTTTAATTAACATCATCAGAACTACAATGCTTTAAATTGTATATGTATATCTCTAGAACAATAAAGCATAAAATAGCTACAAGGCCTCAATTAATAAATAGGAACATGATGAAAAAAGGTCAGACTCAAACCAAGTTACTACTGTGACCCACAGGGAATTTAATTCCCAATTATATAGAATTTATATATATATACGTAGGTATCAAATTAAAAACCAAACAAATACTCCTGTCATCTTGTCTGATGATAAATTACCTTGCATTTTTTATGATTTGGGTAAATGTCCCTAGGAGACTAAGCCTTGACGAGCAAGTAGTATATGATTTCTAGAACAATAAAGCATAAAATAGCTACAAGGCCTCAATTAATAAATAGGAACATGATGAAAAAAGGTCAGACTCAAACCAAGTTACTCCTGTGACCCACAGGGAATTTAATTCCCAATTATATAGAATTTATATATATACGTAGGTATCAAATTAAAAACCAAACAAATACTCCTGTCATCTTGTCTGATGATAAATTACCTTGCATTTTTTATGATTTGGGTAAATATCCCTAGGAGACTAAGCCTTGACGAGCAAGTAGATTGATTTTGTGGACCAGGGCTAATTTGAATTCCTATCTCCAGAGATGTAGGACCAAGGTACAATTTATACCTTCTTTGTCGTCGATCACTTGCTCGTCTCTTCAGAATATCATTATGTGCATAATCATTCCCTTCTTCTTAGACATATCCCTCTGTTGTCATTTCTTTTCTTAAGTTGAAGAATGCTCTAAAAATCCGAGAGAGATCACACACCAAAATATTTTTTTGACCTGCAAGTATGGAACTGCGTTGGCTTAATTAAATTCCGTCAAAAACCCGCAAACCCCCGAGAAAAGTAACTACAAGCTTCAGAAAATAGAATTAAGGGAAGGGATCAGAAAATGAAAAGCATATGTAAACTTTAATCACTACTCTCAGGCAGAATCTGTAAAAGGTGAACTTCTTGGTCCTCTGTAAAGAGAAATAAATTGCTGGATACACAACAGAAACTGCTTAATGAAATAGATTTTACTTGTAGTCATGCTGTTATGTATTAGGTCACCCTGCCAGTGCCTCTTCAGAGGCTCAGTGTAACTTCGTTAGCTTCCAGTTTCATTAAATAGATTATTCTTCTATGTAAAATGGTCCTGTCTAGACATGCCAAGTCACAAAAAAAAAAAAAAACAGTGTTAAGGCTATTTTAAAAGTTTTTTTTTTCTAAGACAGCATTCAGACAATTGAAATTTTAGTTAGAATATACTTTAGCTACTGTGCTCATTTTCAATTTCCCATCATTTCTAGAAAAAAAAGTGAAAATAGATAATTTAATGCCATAATATGGCTATATGTTTTGCAAATTCAAAAATTCACAGAAACACATCTTTTATAAACTAAACAAAAGTAAATGGGAGATTTGCATTATTAGGCCATCAGATGCACAATTTTTCTATTTTTTGGTTTTAATTCTATTGCGACATTTGCTACATATTGAGAAAGTGATCATATATCCCTAACCACAGGACGCACATGTATAAACCATGCTATACCAGACAAACAAATAGCACCCACATACAATCCAGGCTACAGAATAACTGCACATAATGTACACATTAAACAACAAAGCCCCCGCATTTACAATTATAAATTGGTTTGGTGGTGCTGTCTATAAACTTCCGTTTTATACATCATTAGATCCTTGGCTTTGTACAGACGGGTACATAATGATAACTCTTGCATTTCCAAACATCCTGTGTGATTTTTTTAATATTACAATACATCACCATCGCTAGATCTTGCACTCAGGACTTCAATGCCATACTCCATTAAAAAGATTAAAATTTCTCTTTATTCAAAATCAAAATTAGATTTGGACATAATGTGAGGGGGGCACAGAGAAGCTAACACGTTTCGTGCCATGGAAGACACTTCCTCAGAGCGCGACACAAAACGAATTAATCTCTCCTTTCTCTGTGCCCCCTCCCCTGCACATTATGTCAAAATATAATTTTCTTTTTGCTTAAAGGACGATTTTAATCTGTTTGATGGAGTATGGCATTTAGGTCCTGAATGCAGAACCCGGCGCTGTTGATGTATTGTTTGTCTCGTTACATGGAACCCACCTGTCTGCATTCTCGCACAGTAGGACTATTTGTTTTCTGTAATTTATAACGCTTTGCCACTACACTATTCAATTTTGGAGTTTCCTACAGTTGAAAAATAAATTCAAGAAGTTAAATGGTGATCTTACGAACAATAAATATTAATAAGCCAAAGACCCGGCAACTGCATTAACAAAAGATCAGCATTTTAACAGTTATGGGGTGTTTATTTATTGAGGTAAAAACAAAAACAATTGTGTGTTTTGAACAAAATTAATTTAAAGCCGCGAAATGGCACCAGTTCTCTCACTACCGCCCAATGTTAGCTGGTGTAGATATAATTAGGATTTAAAATTCTTTATCTGTGGGGCAGCAGAAGACCAGACCATGGGTGTGTTTGATAAACTACTCTAAAATGGTGTGGCAGTTCACTCAGATATACCATGCACCATAACCACCGCAATAAGCTGTTGTGTGTCTGATGCTTAAAGTGTCCCTTTAATGTTTATCCATGCATAGCACAAGGACAATGGATAAAGGGTTAAAGCCTATTCCTTAGTTTGTGTTAGGATCAAAAGTAACTTTAACCACTTAAGGACACATGACGGAAATATCCCGTCATGATTCACTTTTATTTCCGAAGCTGTGTCCTTAAGGGGTTAAACTTTAAAATATAGCGTTTGTATTTTGCCTTTTCGCCGAAGGACAACCCAGAAGTAAAATAAAGTTTGTTATTATTGTATTTACTGTATGTATCCAACTCTGTCATGACACTATATGAATAAATTATAATAATAACGTTCTTTATGCAAATCTGTTTATTATTCTAACAGCTGGCCCATTATTCATTTGCTCAAAAAAAAAAATAATAATCTCTATGTAGAGAGATGGGTTCACATTGACTTCACCAGTGACTCATGGGAGCTTGTTCAGAGACTTTGCCCAAAATTAGTTTGAAATAATTTCATGGGAATTGTATGAAATACTATCGCTGGTCATTTCCAAAAGATAAGTGTGGTATCAGAGCGTAGCCAAAAGGCCACTCAAATGTAATTAAAACTGAATTAAAATGCGAGAATGGGTACATTTCTTACTAAATGACACGTCCGGGTGCCTGGAATTAATTCTTATATAGGCAGTTTAAAACCTGTGATTTACAGAGTTATTCGCTGCGAATTCAGAGCGAATTCTAAGTGAATTTAAATTATGGGGTTAAAAAAGCCAAACCAAATAAGTGATCTAATTCAGCTATACTCCAAGTTCCGCGTCTTTGCATTCAATTCGAAATTCACTTTGAATTTTGATTCTTGTAAATAACCCTGATAATGTTCTAATCTAATGATTTTATCTGGTAATAATCTAGTAGAAATCTAAAAAAAAAAAATTAAAAATAGTAAAATAAATAACTTCTACTCTTACTCACAGTATTGGCTTTTACTTTCCAGTCATAAAATATTCTATTTTTATAGTATTATTATTATTATTATTTTATTTATTTTTTACAAAGAGAAGAAGAAATAGATCCTCCAGTCATATCGGTTTTATAAAACCATTTGGTTCCAGATAATGTGATGATATGCTGGTTTAAATCATTACTTTGTGTGATCTGATCTTGCTGCATGCGGCACAAGTCGACAACTCCAATCCCATTACAAACATAACGATACACACAAGAAGTCACCAAGGTGCACTTTTAGAAATTGGTCAATCTTCTTCAAAACTGTTTTCCCCCTTCAGTTTAATCAGATTGTGCTTCCTGAAACCATATATAATCTTGATAAGAACTTTAGAAACAGCAGTGTGCATGATGACAGAAATTAGACCCACCAGCATATACAGCAGCTTAGTAGAAGTGTGTACATTAGATTAGTTTTTCTAACCCTCTACAGAACCACCGTGGTGGGGATCGAGAAACACTAAAGAACCATAATCTTTGGTCATGCTTTCCGTATAGCGTTGCAAAACATTATTTCTGTTGTGCAATGGAAAAAAACAAG